TTACCTCCCCCCCCCCCCCCCCCCCCCTCTCAGGACAATGAATGTTTTGGGCAGTGGTTTTGGCTTTTAAACCCCGTGCATATCTCTTACTGTATCTGGCTACCTCAGATTCTGAGTTTCTTTTTGGCAGTTGTGACGCTAGTATCATGAACCAGTCTGTAGACAAGGATAATAAGACTCCTGGCAGATGTTAAATGCTGTCCAGTGAAGGAAGGTAGTGCGTGACAGATCAGTAGTTTCCAGCCTGCAGACTTTCCTTTAACTGTATCTTGATGGTCTGGGGAAAGTGACTGAGAAAAGTAAGCTGACAAGCTCAATACACCAGTGCCTTTTGCCATTTCTAAATTGCTCTATGCAAGAAGGGTCCGTAACTTGGAAAAGGTTCACCACAACCATTATCAGTAGTACCAAGGACATCCATCTGTGCCTTGTCCTAATGTCTGGTACATTCCTTTACAAGGCAACTTTGTTGCTCACCTGTCAGTAAACTAACTTATTTAGGTGGGCACAAAGTATCTGGCTTTTTTCCCCCCTTACTAAAGTTTGAGCTGAAGTTCGTTCAGTGCCCAGGATGAAGGTAGGACAGGGAAGGAGAGGCTCTTTCTTACCTGTATTAGTGTTTCTGTATTTTTGTTTCAGGTGGGTGCTTGAAGTTGGCAAGAATGCTGTCCTTCCCATCGAAGCTCCTATGTGCTGGCTGGACTGAATATACATTATTTTTGCTGAGAGCTCTAGGGAGGTGTCGCATATGTGCAGCTACTCATCCAGCCAGTGGGGCTGATGTGCTGAACAGCACAATTGAGAACAGGGACTGATGCTGTAGTCAGTAGAGCTATTACCCCACAAAAGTGGGACTGGAAGTCAGGAGTCCCAACTCTCTCCGCATTCTTTGCTGTTTTACAAATAGTCTTATGACAACTTTCTAGCAGATCCGCCAAAGAAAATAATCTGTAAGTTGTCCTTTACCTCATCTGATGGAAGAAAGCACAGATAGAACCAGCCTGCACAGTTGGAATCCTTATAAAGGATGGTCTAACAAGGTTCCATATAAACAGAATTTTGCCTGTCAGTCTTGATGTTTTTTAAAAAGGTTAAAATTTTAGAGTTCTGGATATACCAGGATTCCTCTCTGGTTTTCCTTGTATATTCAGTATTTATTGCTATTGCATCTTTCACCATGCTCCCCCATCCCTCCCCGGTGACCCTTACTGGTTAGAATAGGCCCATTTTTGTGAAGACTCGAACTGTGTGGTGAAGACGGTTCTTTTCAGTTATGCTGTGAAGGTGTGCGGTGGGTGAGGCAGATGAAAGAGAGGTGTGTTCTCACGGCTAAGGAAGTTGTGTGTTACTTCTGGAACTGGTCTCATCTTGCCTCTGCCATAAAACTTCCTCCTGGGCAGGCCAGGCGTACACTTGCACAGGGTCCTCAGAGATCTCCAGCTTGAAGCAGAAACGACTGCAGGTGGGGAGAGTTTCCCAAGTACTGTCTGGTTGCAGGAGGGCTCTGCTTTCTGTGTATATTGTGCTGTGAAAGTGCATGTTGGGTTCTTGGTGCACTCAACTTTGCAGCTTGGTCTCGGTCCTCTGTGTGTATACAGCAAGAATATACTCACTTAGTAAGAGATTGTATGGTTAGTTGCTAAAACAAAAACCCCTCCTACTTTGATGCAGCTGCCAATGCGTATATTGTGAAAAAGATGGATACGAAGTTTTAATGTACAGTTAAGGCTTAACTGAAGCTGCAAAACTGTGAATAGCCATCTGTCCTGGTTTTGGCTGGGATGGAGTTAATTCTCTTTCTAGTAGCTGGTATAGTGCTGTGTTTTGGATTCAGTATGAGAAGAATGCTGATAACACACTGATGTTTTCAGTTGTTGCTAAGTCATGTTTAGACTAAGTCAAGGATTTTTCAGCTTCCCATGCCCAGCCAGCGAGAAAGCTGGAGGGGCACAAGAAGTTGGGAGAGGACACAGCCAGGGCAGCTGACACAAACTGGCCAAAGGGGTATTCCATACCATGGGATGTCATGTCTAGTATATAAACTGGGGGGAGTTGGCCTGGGTGGATCACTGCTTGGGAATTAACCGGGCATCGGTCAGCAAGTGGTGAGCAATTGCATTGTGCATCACTTGTTTTGTATATTCCAATTCTTTTATTATTGTTACTGTCATTTTATTATTTTATTATTAGTTTCTTCCTTTCTGTTCTATTAAACTGTTCTTATCTCAACTCCTGAGTTTTTACTTTTTTTTTGTTCCGATTCTCTCCCCCATCCCACTGGGTGGGGGGAAGTGAGCGGGTGGCTGTGTGGGGCTTAGTTGCTGGCTGGGGTTAAGCCAGCACAGTAAATGGGGTTGGGGGCTTGGCGGGAAGAAGAGAGTGTGATTTTTATGGCTACAATTTTATGTGCTGATATAAACTGATTGAAGGTTTCAAAAGTAACCGTGCTTCTCTTGTTTTGAGGTGTTTGACTTAGTAACTCTTAAATACAGTCCCAAGACAGAACACTTGAGATAATTGAGCCTAGGCACTTTATGCTTTTAAAGAGCATCTAGGAGTCCTCAAATGACTTTAAAACCACTTTTCCTGATAGATGCAGTTGGCCTGCAAATTTACATTTTAGCAATTTAGCTGAAATACTGAAACACTAAGCATGAGATGAATGGGAACTTACGTTCTTGAGCATACTACACTCAAATAGGGAAAAAAAGCACCTATTTGTCTAAAGGGGTGCAAAATGTTTGCTACAAAAATTGCAATTAAAATGTAACCTAATTCTCTGTTACTGGACTTAAGTGGTGTGTGGCAAGTTTTTCTGCTGCGTGAAGAATCTGATGGACTATTTCCATAACCCTGTGTAAGGTGGGAGATCGGTGCTGAGGAGCTGTTCCAGTGTGCTCCAAGACTGTCACCAAGCTGTTCTGCTGACCAATTCACTTTCCTGAGCGGGGCTGATGGTTCAGACCTTCTCAGCAGCCTGGAGAACTGGTAGCCGAGCTGTTCCAGAACCAGGGTCTCCAGGTATGACCTATTCTGATTCTGAGGAACAAGCCTACTCTTTAAGAGCAGCTGCTGCTGCTTAAGAGACTCCCATGGCACTGGTAACATAATTTATGGCAAAAGGATGGCTTGTAGTCAGATGTTTTTCATAGCTCTGCCTGACTTTATTCCCCCATCATGTATGCATGTAATGTATTCAACAGGAGCCTAGTATCGCACTCGGAAATACTGTTTTCAGGTGAAGAGAGAGCAGTAAGCTACTGCAAATGTGGTTGTGCTTCTAGCCTGAACTTAAGTCATCATGGCTCGCTAATGATGTTTCAGGAGCTTTTAACAAAATTCTTGGGTTACGTTCCTGAAGCAATACACTGGACTGACCTGACTTTGAAAAAGGTGATAAAATAGTGGCTGTATAGTAGTTCCTGAAAACACATTTAGAAAGAGAAGTTGCTGGGGAAAAAAAAAATCCCCTCATCCTCTCATAAGGGTAAGTGATAACATTCTGGAGATAGCCATCTACAGACCTGTAGAGTAGGAATAGATTTAAGAAAAAAAAAGCAACCCACACTTTTACCTTAGAGGATAATTAAGACATCTCACCCTATGCTAATTCACTGCTTGCAACTTGTACTGATAAGAATCAGGTAAGATGATAAGGTGGACAGTCTAGTAATAGAGAAATTTTGTGACTCTTACGTTGATTCATCATTCTGCTACAGCTTCCTGTGACCTCAGATAAAGTTCAACTAGTTCCCCTTTCATATAAATACCTTCTAAATAAATGTATTCCTGTACAAGTATGTAAATACCCTTTTGTGATGGGGTAGAACATAACATCAAATATACCTGCCGGGTATATTAAAATCATGCCAGGTAACTTGAGAAGAACACATAGTAGTGCTGTTTCCAAGCTTGGGACAGTGTTGCAGCTATCCAAGAAGGAGCTGAGGAAAATTTCATAATCAGTCAGAAATGCATGAAGTAGCTAAGTACTCAGTGTCCTTTTAACTGTGAGGGCGACAAGGCAGCGGAGTCCTTCACCAAATACATACAGTCAGCACAGAAAGGATCCAGCCTTCTGTCCTTGCTTATTAAGAAGAAAAAGCTAAATCTCTGCATGCATCCAGGCCTACTCACTAGAAAACTTCCCCTGCAAATGTGTCATTAGTATCTCAGCTTTACACTACCACATCTATAGATTAAGACTTCTCTAACATCACTAGTACAGCAGTTGGGAATAATGTTCAGAGACAGATTTTTTTTTTTTTTTTTTAATTTGAGTAGAAGATGTACATATTTATCAAGAGACACAATTCCACTATTTTCCAGAAGCATAAGGTAGACAGGAATTTTCCGGGCCATGTGGTCTTTATGGTTTTGTCAGTTTTCTTCTTCCTGAGTTTCTTCTGTCATCAGAAAACTACCCTTGCAAGTTCAAACAGAACCTGTGGAATAGCAAACATGTTGATAGGAATTTTTATTTGATTTAATGATCCTTAAAACAGCTTACACTGTAAACGAGTAATCTGAAAAATAACTATGGCTGTAATTCACAAGTTACTTGCAAAGAACTGAAGACTAATCCACTTGTACAGTACATTAATAAAATAATCTTGATTCTCAAATTATGATATATATAAATTGAACTTGTTATTACATTTTCAGTGTGATAGTGGAAAAAAACCCCACCAACCTCTATGGTGATGAGTATTACTATCATCCACTCGAGGCGTAGAGCGTGCTTTTCATTCAGGTGATTTCGCATTAGGTCTGTCAGCTCCATGCAGTGCTGAAGCTTTTCATTCATTACCTGCAAGAGATTCCAAATATATGGCAAATCTGGATTCTGTAAGTGGAACAAGATCACTAAATAAAGGAACACAGTCCACAGAAGGGTTCACTGACCAGAACTAGAGAGGTGTTAACACTTGTCTGTGAAAGAAAAGAACAGAAAGTCCTGTAAGGCAACATGAGCAAGTGACAGAAGTTTCAATATAAATGAGTCTGTTTTTTCAATAGGTTCACAAAAATAATTGAAATTTAGATAATGCATCTACAGGTATTAAACTGCTTCCGGGTGCTATCTACTTGTGAAAACAGGCACAAGAAAAAGAATTTACAGCTTACTGGAATGCCTCAAAAGTAACTAAATATTGAAGGTTGCTGAACCACCAGAAGAGGTAGTTTTTGTGCTCCTCATTCTGGTTCAGCAGCAAGCATTATGTCCCCCTTCAATGAACTGACCTGACTGGTCATGTCAGTAAGAAGACGGCTTCACATCTCAGTTTTTAACTTGTTTTCTTGCACACATTTCAGAACAAGAATTAAACATCCTCTTCTTACAACCATGTAACACCTAATTTAGTGGCTCAGGAAATACACAATCCATTGATTTGAGGCAGGGTTGTTAACCTAAACTGGGTAAAACATGTGAGTGGGTTACAAACACATGGAAAAGGGGATATCGTATAGGATCCTATTATTCTTTAATCAGTTTCTACAATTAAAAGAAGACATTCATGGAGCAGTCTGTAACCCTGCTGAGCCAAAGACAGACAGCTGATCTGAGTGTGGAAAATTCTCCTAACAGTAAGACACATACCTTAACTCTGCGATTAATGTTAAGAAACTGACAAGTCTTGTCATAAAGCTCTTCCAGTTTTTCTCTATCCCAGTAGAAGTCAGGTGTTATTAGCAGGTCTGAACTCAGATTTATACGGTGCCTAAAAAGAATGGGTACTACAGTAGTCAAACTTTCTTTTGGTGAATACAGGAGCAAATATTTACATAGCATTTAAAAGAAACAGGAAAATTTTCCTGTAATTTTAAGTAAAATATGAAAAGAATCTCCTTTCATAGTAAAAATACAAGTGATTGTTTAAAATCGGTCACATCTCCTGAAACTTTTCTGAGAATACTGTACTGTGGAACAGTTTTGAGCATAAATGACTTTTGCCTTATGGCAACATTGCCTCCTCAACTTGTCACCTTAACTTTTGGTATCTGCAGAGAAGTCCTTGACTATGCTAGTAGCTCACTGAAGTGGTACGTGGATTAAAGTTACTGAGGAGCTGCTTAACAGCTTGTTTATATCTCAGAACTCTTAAGTGTGACTGGTACTGACACTGACATGGTGGGTATGTGAGCACAGCACACCTTGCTGAACCAGGCTATTGCCTCAACATTATAAAGGCTAAGAGCTAAAATCTCCTGCCCTCCACCTACTTCTCATATAAATCTTTGGACACTTAGAACATCATTGTTCATTACTGAACAGTCCTTCAAGTAGGGATATAAAATCCAATGTTTCAAATAGGAATTGCTTTTTTAATTTACCTCTTTCTTCACTGATTTTGAGGTTTTTTTTGTAAAAGAGTGTGTAATGCTCTGTATTCTCAACGGCCAAATCTCACTTCAGAGGGGAAAAAAACCCATTAAATTCTTACAGTGTAGCAGTGGTTTCTGAGTAAGTCAGGGGAAGAACAGAACTTACAGAAAAATTTTACTAACTCTAGGCTGTAGTTAACAGTTCTACCTACCCCGTCCTTCCTCCTGGCGTCCTCTGCACACTCTAGTATCTACTATAATTACTGGTTATGAGACCTGCGTTGCTGGACCCAGGGAGGGAAAAGGGTGTGGAATTTGGGCATTTACAATATGCTGCTTAATGCCTGTCTATAGTTGAGATGCCGTAGTGAGTGGTGAGCCAGCAGGTCCTCTAACATAAACAGCACACGCAGTCTCCAGCCAAAAGAAGGTTGAAGGAATTCCCCCACCCCACCCCACTGTGTTTCGTGTGTATTCTGGTCTTTGTATCGTGCAGAACTTAATTTTTAAGTTCTGTGTAACACAATGTCTTTGGTGTAACCAAAAAAGTTACCTTAACGCGAAGAGTTCTCCAATTTTCTGCATTACATCTGCATGAGACAGTTTTACCTTCCTTCGTGACTTCAGTATCTGCAAAGTAACAAGTTGTTCACCGCTTGATCAAGTAGAATGTACTAGTAGTTAAGAAGTCTTGAGTTTTACAGCCTGAAGTATGTATATGAGTGAAAATCTGAATGCATATCATACTTATTAACATTTGAGTTTTGTTTGCTTAGTGGTTTGCTTATCTAGCTTTGTAAGAATATCACCATGCAACTCTTCATCCAGGTTTTTTTTCAATAAATCACTGAGTATGACATCAGTATCTGTACAAAATCCTGGAGCATTTTCTATGAATGATTTCCTGAACAAGAGATCATTTGTTTTTTCTTCCTACTATTGTTATTTTTAAGACATGACAGCATTCTTTTACCTTGCTACTACTTAGCCTTTTTATAGACTTTTTACTTACAACAAACAATGTATTACCATTTATTTCCTTCATAAAAAAATACTAAAAATTATGTTTTCTTTTTTGAACCCTAGGAATTTCATTTTTGTGTTACATCATAGGCGCTTTGTACTTTAATTAAGTCTCACGAAAAACTGTGGTTTAAGTAACTCACCCAAACTCTTCATGTTAAAGCACATTACTTTCAGACCCAAGCTACCACACACTGTGGCAGGTTTTTGAATGCCGCTTGTCCTGTTACATGTACACGTTCAACAGTGGCAGGTGACAGTGGCACAACATGAGAAACATTCCAAGGCAGAACCCCACTCCCAACCCTTTAAAGACTGACGATTTCTTGTCCCACCGCTTTGCGGGTATTCTGAGCTTCTCTATGTTGATGGCTTTACCATCAAACGTGTTAAGCATTCAATTGCTTTTTTCATATGCTCAGCTGTATCTGGCCTGATCTTTTACAAAGCACAAGAGAAAAGGAGGGGAGAGGTACAAACAAGACCTCACCTCAGGAATTGACTGGATAGATTCCACGAAGTTATCCAATAATGATTCCCAAATAGCCAGCTTTACTGCAACAGAGGTGACAGAGCAGGACACTGTGAGACGTATATATGCTTTCCAGTAATCGTAACTTTAAATCTGCCAACATGCTGCTTCAAGACATGTTGATACATACAAACATTATTTGCAGCAAGTTACCGTTAGTATTATACCATCAGTGTTCATACACCTATGGACAAGTCTGGGTTGGGCACTGACACAACTCTGCATGCAGAGCCACCTTGAGCACAGCTCTCTTCTCCAAATGATCAGTTCAGATCCAGGAGAGTTTTTGCTTCAGCTCAGAAGTTGTGTGAGTGCTCTGCTGTATGTACAAAGCCTTTGCGAGCTACCTTCCAAGGAGGCTGGAGATAATGAGCCGTGCTGGAGTCAGGCTGATTTCATGTGGTGCTGCTCAAGAGTCTCCACTGCATTTCTAGCATCCTGCAGAACTCTCATTCTCCATTTGTCCAGTATTTGATGCAGCACGCTCAAGCCATGGAGAGTTAGCTTGCACAGACACACCACCTGTACTTGTTTAAGCTAAATTCAAACTTAAGCAATCTCCCATTTTGTTTTTAGGTGAATATACTGTTCACTGAAGATATAACTTCTCTTCTATGGAAGCTGTTCAGCACAGGCAATGGCAACACAAATTCTACTATGCCTCAGCTTGAGCCTGGAAAGATGTTTCTACAGGAAGATGACAAAAGTCATGCCTTTGTTCTTTAGTCTGCAGATTCCCCAACAAGAATGAAGTAACAACAGATCAAAAATTAACCCTATTCACTCCAAAGAATTAATCAGGGAAGATGTAATTGTCAAAATGAACTCTTTCATGGTAGTAACTGATAGTATCATCTAGGCAGGACGCTGACAGTAAATCCAATGCCGAGCATCCTTCACACTCATCTTTTGAATACAGAGGCCTAATCCAAGTCAGTGACTTAAATGACATTTAATTTAGCCCCTGAAAAAAAGCCAATAGGCATTTCAGCTATTACCGATTATTTGACAGAGGTTGGTTTCTGCTGTGTCATAAATTTGACTTGGACTATACTTGCATCCTTCATTTTTATTAAACATTATTGAACTGTTTTCCTTTATGATGTGGATGTCTCCCACTAACATAAATTGGTACCAATTATGTCCTGGGAATAAATCGCTTGCTCCATTATATGTGGCACTACGCTTCCATGCAGTGGCTTTATGAATAGGAAAACTACAGGGAATGAAAGGCTTTTTTTCCTCAATAGTTCTTTCTTTAACAGTCAAGAGCCATTTAGTTATGCTGTACTCCTTCATCAAATGGTATATCACTTCAAAAACATGCATTCTGTTTCTTGATGTCTCTTCTGTTTGAAGGTGCAATTCCCCAAATACTACAGGAATCCTGTAATTTACCCTAAAAGCAGTAGGGGTAGACAGACCAGACGTCCTTTAAAGGTCTTTCTGAGGACAGCCTTACTGCTGCTAGCTTCTACTCCCACTTCCTACCTAATTCGAGGTCTGAAGCAGCAGAGAGGTGTATTGCCTCAAGCAGCAGCACCACTGCTGAGCCTGACTTCTTCCCAGTGCCTCCTGCTGTCTCCTGCCATGGCTAATAAGCCTGGAAAACATTATTTGTGACTCTGGTCTGCACCTTTGATACTGGTACACCTTCCCAGCTGGGAATCACTGCTCTACATTACTTCTTTAGCTGGCATCTAGCTTTTTTTGTTAGAGGAAATGATGTCAGGATGAATTACCTAAGATTACTGACAGGTTTCTACTACTGGACTCTACACTTCTTGCTATCCTAGAATAGTTCTCAAGGGTGGGGAACAGGATGCTCAGTAGAATGTGTATCTTTTGCAAAGTATGTTTCTTAATGTGCTTTGATAATCTTTGGGATGATTTACATTGAATGAGGTAATTCAAATTCACAGAAAACAAGGTAAAAGCTTTGAAAACGAATCCACCCACTGAAGCACAATCAATCTTTACACAGTTTACCTAAACCAGACACCGAGTCTTCTCCAACCTGTCACTGTACAGGTCCCACTTATAGTGACATTTCACAAAATCTGTAGCATAGGCTGAAATTACCAACAATATTAACTTACCAGAAAGACAAAGGGCATTTGAAAAGGCAAATTTCTGCAGAACAACTTCATCACTATCCAGCTCAGAATTTAACAAGATTTCTCCTTTATGAAGCTTTGACTGACCTCTGTTAAAACAGGATTGAAGCATCTTCATTGACTATGCCACCAGCAAAGGTTATTTATATAAAGTATACCATATCTATATGGACATCATCCCTGTCCTTGCATTTTACTCATGTCCAACCTGACAATAACCAAAACAAATCACTGAAAATTAGTTCCTCAGTCTAAGACTAATATTATGACCAAATTTTCTAGGTTTAAATGAAACTGCAGCAAGAAATGATGGTAACTACAGCATTACTATATACACATAGATAGTTCAGAGTAAGCAGGATGCTGGCCTCTCTCCTGCTCACTATCTCCTGTATTATCCATTTCTGTTTTTCTTTTCTTCTTTTATCAACATCACTCCCTCCCTGCTATGATGTTACTTTCCCTGAACCCTCTGTTGCACAGGGGGCCAGGAGCAAAGAAAAGGGGGCATGAGAGTCATTCAATTTATTGTGTCAATCTCACTATGAACTTGCATAAACACAATGGAATATGTCTGGAATCACAAATTACACAACTGGATAGTACATGCTGTTTTCAAATGGCTAGGAAAAAAAAACCAAAAAGGAAAACCTGTCCTCTTACCAGGTTACCTTAAATAAGCTCAACCTCATTAGCTTAGCTCCTAGTGTTACACTGTCCTGTGTAGGACACAGGAGTTGTTTTTTGGTGCTGCTGGAAAACTACAGATAATTTATATAATAATTTACTTGGAGAAATACTTCTGTAAAGATCATAATGGTTTCTGTTTGGGATTGCTGAAGAACATAGTCAGTTGTGTGGGCATGGACCTTCATAATTTACAAAGTCTACTGCATAACGAAGTCACAAAGGCCATTACTTGCAGGTTTAGCAATACAGCAAAATTTGTCAATTTTGATTTACTGTTTTCTCCTTTATTTTACTCATTTGAAAAAAGAGTAAGGACAAGCATATTTTTACTAGTTGTTTTCGCTTGAATTTGTTTTAGGTATCTATCAGCTTTTATATAAAGAGTGCCTGAAGATACTTACTCTCCTATTCTATAGTTCATCTCTTCATTCTCCCAATGGACTAGTGCAACTTCATATGGCTGAATTTCATGCTGTTCTAACACTCGCATGACATTCTTCATCTAAGAAAAAGATAATTGCACACACAGGAACAGTTACCATGCAGTATACTATCACTCTACAAAGACCTCGCATATAATAGGTTGATGAATGCAACTTTCATGCTGAAGTTATTTAAGTAACAATGAACAGGTGTGCTAAGTAATGAAGTGATTATTAACACAGTTTACTTCTGAAGCTATCTGTAGCTGTGTGGAAGAATTTATGGCTATGAACAACTGCACGGAATCTGTGAAGACTAAAATGTCACTTAATGTCTGCATATATAAAACAGGGTAAGGATTAACCACAGCAGCAGTAAAGACAATGCGGATGTATTCAGTACTAAACAATGTGCTGTACAAGATTTTGGCAGATGTCTGATTGTGGGAATGAATCTTTAGGATAAGTACATCAGGTGGCTGTTTCTGCCAAAATTACTAGTTTGCTGCTAAAATCAATAGTTTTGTTTTGGCTACCAGAGGTTGGGTTATATTACAGAAATCCTTTATCACCACAGAAATCTGTAAAAATGGTTTCAGCTGCCCACATTCAACCCTGTAAACAGTTAAATGTGCAATTTTACTTGCAGAAGTAATCTCATTGTCATTTTATTCTCAAGCACACTAAAACCTGATGCAGTAAGAAAGAGCCCTTTTCTCTTACAAAACTTTCTCCTCTGACATCTGCCTTAGAAAGGAACAAGGATGAGGGATCCTACGTGCTACAAGGCTCCCCTCATAAAAATCATTCTGCAATTAGAACAAATTCTGAACTAAAAAACCCAGTCACCTACAGGTTTTTAAAAGGCATTTAGCTACACAACAGCAAATAAAAAAAAACCCAATACACTTTTGATGCCTAAATTCTGTAAAGAGGTAAATCTTCCACTAAGTGGACCACATACTTAAAACACTCTCTTCAAAATAACAGTTAATCTTTTAGTGCAAAACTGTATACTAGTAAATAAAAAATCTGTTGGATCACCTGCAAGAGGGATTTTCTTTGCAGTGCTAGCTTTCTTCATTGCTTTCAAGAATTTTGGTGAAAGTATCTATGTAAGACACGATAACATTTTTCACTAAAAAGCCCCCAACCCTACAGCTACAACTGCTTGTTTCATAATCCTGAATTTAGTATTAGCATGACTAGTACTTGCCATATATTCCAAGTCTTGTGGTAAAAAAGGGCATGAAAAATTATTTTCATTTTTTAAGCAAGGAATTGTCTGCTGTTAGGCCAGTCAGCTCGGCCAACCAGGTATGCTGTGTCCAGGGACAGTACAGCAAGGCAAACGCTGCTAAAACAACACCAGAGGTAATAGCCGGTCCATAATGTAGCATGCCAGACTTCAAGAGTGCGTTCACTTGCATCCAAGTGCTCTAGCTGGCTTTGTGAAGTCATTAGTAATACAGTAATAATTATGCTGTTAATAGACTAACAGTCCCTTCCAGAACTACAACCAGCTCAGGCTTCCCAGGGCCAGTACAGAGCAAGATTTAACAAAGCTTTACAGACCATAGCCGATTCTGTGAAATTCATAGGTCTTGTAATGTGCATACTTCCAAAGTTCTTCCATTGGTCTGGATAATGACAAATTGTATTTCAGTGGCAGCTTTCTTTTATGTAGTCAGAGTAATACAAAGGCTTCCACTGACTGATCTGAGTTTCTTCTAAGCCCCGTGTAATTTTATGGAAGGGACTACCTCTGACACAGTATATTTAATGAGAAGAGATGTTCTGGATTCACTAAATGCAAACTCTTGCCATTACAGGCAATCACGTCACACAATTTCCTTTTAAAAAAACAGATGAGACTCCACCTCAAAGCTAGTTTTGCTTTTTGCCCTTGCTATTTTTGGTGGTAAAGCTGTTGCATGATCTCCCTACTCAAGTACTTGAAAATGGTATTTAACATTTTAAATTTCTATTCATGATCAGTCTGTAGTTATTACTTCTTAAGTGTACATTAGTTTTAAATAGTTTTTCTTCTCCTAATAGTCATTCTGGAGTACTTTTAAAAAGCAATTTTGTCCATTCACAGTGATTCCCTACCTTCTGTTTTACTGAATTACTTTCAGTTTCTGTTCTACAGACCAGTTTGTTTTTTGTTTGTTTGTTTCAGTTCATTAAACATGTGCATAAAAATACCTCGTCTATTTGAGCAAGTTGTTTGGAAGTTAAAATTTTTACTATAATTTCAATAAGCAGAAAGAGGCAGTCTTCCTCTTCTTTTATATATAAAGCTAGCAAGGGACCAACTAAAGTTACTAGTACTGACAAGAAAAACGTGGTATCAATTTTTCAAAGGTACTTAAGCATGTACAACAAAACCAGATTTTTCACAGTACTCCAGTGGGTAGTGATGCCCAACTCATAAAAATCAACAGGAGTTATGTCAGCTAGTCTTCAGTAATACCTGTGAATCAGTAGCGTAGTTACAGCCATAGCATCCTAAGTGTGCTACAGGCAAGGTTTGAAGGGAGAACTAGTATCTTTTTGTAGGCCGGCTGATATACTGAACCCCCCCAAACCAGACAGGAAATCAGGAACATTTCAGGTCTGAAACAGAAAAAGTGAACTTGAATCCAGAAATTGTTCACATCTGGAAACAACTGCTCTGTGTTTTCATTTACCTTGAAAATCCTCCTGTGAACTTCTGTGCATCTCAGACTCATCTATTTAATACACCATTTAATTTCACATACTCTGCCTACAGGTAAGATCGATACTTTCCTCTTTGTATCTAGAATAGAGTTTTATTTAACTACAGTAATAAAACCCAATATATTATATTAAAAAATTTAAAGAACTTTAAATTTATTCATAAAAATAGATATGCCTGTGGCATACCCCTCTTGGTCAGCAAAGAGCACCAAATTATCATAAGGGGCATGTCATTCCAATATCAACGTATTTTAACAATTATACCAGCTAATAAAAATCTTCCTTCAGGAAAATTGCTAACTGGTAGAAACACAAAACAATACTAAAAAGTTGCTTACAAATTTTGTCTCTTTCAAAGTTATCCAAACATAAGTTTTGAATAGTTTTAACTTAAATAGAATAGAATGATCCTTTTCTTCTAACACATTTTCTGTTACATTAGTGCCTTTCAAACAACCATTCACAGGTTGATTTTTCTGATCTACTTCAGGACATAGAGCTGAAAGAATTTTCCTTTTGTCAATCTCACTAGATTAAGGTTTCAGATTTCTGGCTTTAAGCAGAAAATGTTATCCACTCTGTGTGCTACACATATATTTGCTCATTTTATGCAGAAAGTCAAGTTTCAAAGGTGATCTATCAGCAATCCACACACTTCAGGGCAGCAGGAGGCAAGCACCTCCACTCATTAGAAGATCAGTCCTTTTCCTTCATGGAAAGATCCAAGCTCCCAAACAATGCCCAAGCACGCTGAGCTTTGTGGGACTGACAAAACATCTGCTTATGAAGTCTTAACAAACAGTTTTGCTTTACTTACACTTTTCTCTTCCACATTCCAAAACACAACAGCCCCTTCCCTGTGAATTCAAGGAAAAACTGAAGTGTAATTATACTGTTTAAATGTATTTCAATGCAATACTCAAATTGTACAGTGACAATTTTTGTCATTGTGAATCAAGAAACTTAATACTATCTCCACAAAACCTACATAATAGTTGCTTTTTAGCTGTACTTTAGTCAAAAAACAGGAGAAGGTAAGTTATTTTTTAACCATTTAAATAATTCTGATTTTTTTTTTTTAATGATTCTGATTGAACAGTTATTCCTTGAGTTTCATGAGATAATATGATGCAACGATCTAGGAAGCTGCACTACTTCTGTTACGCCATTGCTATTAATACAATAATGTTTTGGGCATGATTTATAGCTTACCTGAAGAAAAAAATCATGCCAGGATCATCTTCTTTTGCAGATTTCTCAGTACCAATCACTAAAACGTTTGCAGCATCTAGTTTGAAATAAATGAAAAAAGTTGAAGAATTAGTCAAACTTCTATACATGATAGCTATAGGCATATAATTCCAGTTTAACAGTTACATGCTAACACATCAGCCAGTCCCATATTTTATTTTTCTGATGGAAATGCTTGTCAGGAAACAACTACAGTATCAAACTACACTGCTGCTCTGAAACATCACACTCTAGAGAGACTCAGCTGCTATGCTGAACTTCACTGGAATCTTTAGTTAATGAAATGTAACAGTTTTGAAGAACAAAAGACTTAAGGGAAAACTGATGCAGGGCATAGTAAATAACCAGGAACAGATTATAGACATGGACACGTAAAGTGACTGAAGTTGCCCACAACTGCAGAGAAATTACCATTTAAATCTGCTTGCCCAGAATATCTTTCTCTTTTCTATATAGTAAGGGACTAATCTGCACTCAAATTGCACTGACTGCTTTGACAGTCAGAAACTTGAAAGAGCGTACCCCCAAGAAAGGAAAGGGTACACCTGCATCTTCCTTTTGGATCAGAATCATGCTTTTGAAACAAATCTTCCAGCCACCCTCATCTACCACGCTTCTGATGTGCACTGCAGAACAGTGTCAGAGTACACAAGCTCCCTTTTTTTTTTTTTTTTTTTTTTTTTGCATTAAATTAAAGTCAAAGAGGAGCTCCAAGAATGCACCTGTGGTACTCCAACCACTAACGGGCATTTGTTACAAAGGACCAGACTTGAGCTAGTGTAAGTAGAATGCCCCAAAACTTACAAAATGTGAATGCTGGGTTCTCAGAACAGCGTTTTGCTTTTTACCCCTATGGGTCTGCTCCACTGTACTACTACTCGCTAATATAGATAAAGTTTTAGAAGTCCTGATGTGGTTTTAACAAAAAAAAAGGTTACTTTCCAGCATGACTCATTTTGTTGCAGAACTAGTGGAGCTAGATCAGCAAAACCCCCTACTTCTACTATAAAGTGAGACTCTACAAAGAGGAATTTGCAGGGCCTAACACCTAAGCCTTAAAAAGTTCAACCCTATGTTGGTGCAAAAAGATCACAAGTCAAGTGACAAGGCATCAGTTTCAGCCTGTGTACAAATTCCACTCTCTGCTTTACTGCTCAAGCCATAGAGGCCAGGTAGACTAAGGCAGCAGAGAGAGATGAATCGGATATACTTTTGCTAATACCCAAATTGAGACCACACGAATCTGTATGAACTCTTTAAAGACTTTTCTTGCACTTGCTATTCCAGTTCAGAAACATATGATTTGCTGAATCACTAGAACAAATTTTAGGTGTGAAGTCTGAGTTCACCACGGAAGAAACATTTGTTTGCATTTTCTCATTTGCCTTTTCAAATATCACCCTTATCTTTATCCACTCCAGCCAAAACATACACAATTGAAGAGAATCTGGTCCATTGTAAGCGGAGGTACAGGATCTGCCTCTAAAATGTTTTTAAAGAGGTCAAAACCAAGAATAATGCTTAGGAAGAACACTACAAAGCAACAAATCCACACAATAATTGCTGATTTAGATTTCTATGTGCTAATATTTTTTGATTTTCCAAGAGTCGATCTTTTGAGTTGGTAACCAACCACTGCTACATATACAAGCCAACCACCAGAAGACATCAGATCTACTGGCACAATCCAACATCCTTTCATCATTACTTCCTCCAAACTTTTGATAAACAGTGTATTTATTGTGAGGAGTCAAAAACACACCATGAAGAAATGAAAGAACTGGGAAGACCCAAACTCCCAGGGTAAAACACCAGCACCAGCAACATTTGCCTTACAAAAATTCACAGTTGTGTTGGAGATTGTTTATACAAAGTTTCTATCCCAAAGCTGTGAAACCAGTGTTGGTTTTAATACAAAGAAACTACAAAGGAACATGAAGCCTACACTCTACAGCACCTTGTCTTTCCATGTTCATCTTTCTGAGCAAGACAATCATAGTAAATCTCATGTTTGAAAGAGACCCACTGGAGTACTATTGCACTTGGATTACTAAGTGTTTGAGAGGCAGCCAGATATTTGATAACCTTTACTGAAATGCTCATAAACACTATTTGTCATTCTCTTAGCTTCATATAATCTGTTCATTCAAAGAAAAAAAAAAAAAAGCATTCTACTGCCAACATATGAAAATCACAGCTGTTCTAGGGCATAAGGTTCCTTAAGCTATAAAAAGCTCCATTTGTTTTTCTCTTGTAGTATACTGCAGCTATTTCCAAGCCATACTTTCCCAAGTCTTCAGAGATAACTGTATGGAAACCAGAAGCAATTACTTTGCTGAAGCCTAGCTAAGTGAAGCATTCAACAATTGCTAGGATATATTTGGCCCAATGAAAAAAAAGTATCGGCTGCATTCTCTTTACTAGAACTAGGCATTTATGTGTGTATCTTTTTCATTTCACTTAGTCAGCAAGATACTCTCTTGCATGCCTTCCTCTCCAACCCTCAGTGATTTACATTAATAGAAATGTGGGTTTGGGAAGATGCAGCACTCCAAATTACAAAATTGTTTTGACAGCTGAAGCATTACGGTATCACATTACTGAAAGATTAATTAAAATAAAGAAAACTTTCAGAATTTTTTCAGTTAGCAAATTCCTATAGAAATTCTTTGTATCAGAAAATTTTCAAATTTACTTTTCCTGCATGCATCTAATTTTTCAATACTTTTAGTGTAATTGTAATTTTGGGAAAATTACCATAGGGTAACAGCAACTGCTGGTTATATTGCTATTCTGAAAGGTTTAGTTGTGGCTTTTTTAGGCACATGGTATTTTAAAGCAAAGCAATATTTTTTATAGGCAGTATGATATATTCCAGGGTATTAAGCAGAATAAGAATACATAAAGTTATAAAAATTATATACCTCACCCATATTTCATTTCCCAAAATACAACATTGCTTTTAATATGTTTCAAAAATCTACCTCTAGGCAAACTTGTTATTTCAACATATCCATGTGAAGTCAGGTCATGACACAGATTACCAAGATGATATTCATCTGCTGTTGCAAAGGCTGTGCACTGCATCAGATTCTGTGCCAAAGGAATAAAGATTTGAGTTAGGGTAAGGCTGAAGCAAGATGTTCGTAAGACAACCGTTTGCCTCAAATTTATCATGAGAGTGACTTTTATTCACTCTTTTCTACGATATCATTGCCATGCTGTCCACCTGGTGTACAAATACTAATGAGATTACTTGCTCCCTGTTAAGTGGGAAGGCAAATCCCAGACTGATATCAAACCAGGTGACATGAGTAAGTCGCACCAGAAAACTCTGTGATAGAGCCACAAAGCGAACCCTTCTTCCCTGAATGCCAATCAAATGCTTTAACAGTAGAACCACACTTGCTACTGCTCTCCCATCCTACAGCTTATGACATACTTGGCTGACTGCTGAAATCAAAAGCGGGACACCCCCAGTATCAGCTTTAACATCTATATTTTAAAGGTAAATGGAATTCAACTATCCCAGCCTGCTTATCAAACAGAAGCTCTAACTGCAAACATCATGTTCTTCCATGCACAAAGCTCACTGCCCAGGTAACTCCCAGGGTATGAGCCACCGCAACACCGCAGCACAGGAAGTTGCAGATCTTCTGGGCCTGTTGTAGGTGCTGCAGATCTACAGTGTGCCCCTGAGCTGAATCTTGCACTAACAACATGGTCTCAACTGACACGACAGTTGAACAGTATAAAACAGCCAGAGTTTGTCTCAATATTCCACAATCTTGAATAACTAAAATGCCATATTCAAACAAATAACTGGAAAAATAATACTGAATTGCAATGAGACTGACTCATGTGTGGCAAAGAAATCAGAAAATCATCTCTGTAAAGATTTTCTTGATGAATCAAACAAGTCACAGTAAACCGATTTACAAATTCTACTACTCATTTTAAGTGGATTTCTTTGTTCTGATACCATATGTATCCCGTGATAATGTTTTTCAGTACAATGTAGCGGAAGATATCCAGAAACCAATGTGTCTCATTACGGATCAGTCACTTCCCAGCTTTTTGTAACTAATACAAATGGGGATGTAACCAACAACAAATGAACAAAAGAACTGTACTTATCTGCAAGCATTTATACCCACACTATACTTCAACTTAAAATCCAAATTATATTCTTGCAGCACTCATACGCTATCAAACAGCAAGGCTTAAAAAGGTGTTGTACTCCTTGGGGGGCCTGTTACCAGTCATCAGAATCACAATCACGCATTTAAAAGTTCTTTTCTTTTTTAATGTTAACATTCTGTTATCACTTCTAAAGCTATGCTTACACATCATCTTATTTCAGTGATCACTAACAGAAAATAAACTTTAAAAGTAATGACAATATTCAGTGTGCAATTTTGTAGGCCTATTTCCACAACTTTGCTACGAGGCTGAGTTAACAGTGGAACAGAACTGCGTTTTCAATTTCCTTGCTGTAGTACCTTTGCAAAGTTGCATTATCACGATTTCATCTGTGTAAATCCATTCTCAATCTCTAAACTGCCAATGCAAATTATTTATTTCAGATTCTTCCAGAAAGCTCTGGTTATTACAAGTACACATGCTCTGCCTTGAAACCCTTGTGTCAAGAGTTAAGGGAACAAACTCTTTTCTTCCAGCTAGTATATAATCTGAAAATCTCTACCCTGCTCTATGCTTCCCATAGTTTATTACTTGTGCTATTGTTCATTTCAAGGCAGATGCACTACAGGACAGACTTTCTGTCTTACTGCTGCAATTTTAGTTTCAACATAAAGACTTTAAATTTAGTTAGAGCCAGAAGTTTTCTGCTAAGACTACATGCCTGAAATAGCATTTTGGATATGCACTAGTTTGTTTGGTTTTTTTTTACAATGTACTGTTTCACTTAAATTTTTACTAAAATCTTGTTTGATGGGAAACATTTGGATTGGGTGTAATCTGAGATTAAGACACCTAAAATACATGTGTCCACAGGCACTCTAGATGTCTAAGCTCCCATGACAGTTGGTGGAGATATAGCCAAAACATCTATACGCTAATGAGCAATTCAGCTAATCCTAAAACAGACACCTTAACTGGCCAATCAACCTTTATGCCATGCTTTCTGCTATGTCACTTTCACCTACAAACTTCAAAAAAACAGAATACAAAATCTGTACTGGTGCTAGAAAGAAACTCCAGCTACTCACCACCCTCCTCCTTTCTGCCTACAGCCAGGGCTTCATTGGGATTCTATTCAGAGTACCACAACAGCTAACCTTAGAAGTAGCCATCCTAAATACCTCAACAACTCATTTTCCATGTCATCACGCCCCCAACAACTGTACAGGCTCACGGAACCATAATTCTCCTTAGCCCACCCCTTCCACTTCAAGCATACAAAAATTTTTAAGAAAGAAAACCTGTAGGATGAACTTAAATCCTCACGTCACCATAGGAATCAGTCTTTATCTTACGTGTAGTAAATACTACATCTTTACTTTAATTTCAAGCTTCTTCTATACTATATGGCTATAGCATTAAAAATTAGCTCAAAGGCTTTTCATGCAGTCAGACCTTAGGAGGTTAACTAAACTGACTAGGGGTACTACTCACTGATGGACTGACTAAACCAGTTAACTGCTTTCAAGTAACTCCTCTATCTATCCTGAAAAACTGGTCTTACAACCATTTATCACTGCTGCTGCTCAGCACTCTGCCTGTAAACAACACATGAAGACCAGTGCAGGGGAGGGGTGGGAAGGACCTTATACACGGACTGTTCTGCAAAAGAAGTGCCAACTGCCAGGCCCTCCCAGACAGAAAACACCAGAGATCCTCGGGGTTCATCTAACTGAGAAACTTAGGAGTGGACCTAGAGCTACTGCCTCAAGGGGCAGACCAGGTAGGAGAGGACGCAGCGGCCTGCCCCCAGGTAACTGCCCTGGCAATAGGGCCTGCGTTACCAGAGGGCTCTTGGTTGCCTCCACATGGTGCAGGCAAGAGCAGCTTTTTCAGGACACCAGGATTTAGAGAAAACCAATGGCACGCTGAAAAAAAAGACCTCGAGGATTCTCCATTTGCGCTACTTCTATTAGTCATCTTGCAGAAATCGGCCACATCTGTAAGTTATTTCTCTATACTACATATCTATAAGGAAATACACAAACAGGTAAAAAAAATGCTTATTGCAAAATACTGTCAGCCTGCAGACAAGGTGGCAGCCTGTCCAGACCCCTGTAGATGGGGCTATATATCTGACAAAACCTTATGGGGTTTATTCAAAAATAGAAGATGTTTCTGTTAGGTCTGAGTTTGTGTGATTTCTGGCACAGCATTTGGCCACGTGGAAGCTTCCTTAGACAGTATATTATTATTTCAGTGTATCAGGAGTATTTTCTCCATTTCTTCACAATGAAAGAAAGTAAAAATAGCAGCGCATATTACTTGCATACACATATATGAACATGTCAAACAAAGAAACTGTTTGCGTTCTATGCTGCCATCTAAAAGCCTCAAGAAACTAAAAAACCTGTCACTTCAATTCACCCAACAACAAAAAGAAGCAACCTCTGAATGTATTGTCATAGCATGAATAACAAGCTTGAAACATTACATGGTGTTTCAGGACTAATATTTCTTTTTTCTTTTTTCAAAGCAACAGGAAAATACAAGTGGGAACTAAACTGTCTGTAATGGAGCCTTTATGTTACATTAAAGCATACTCCTGCTCATCATACAAAATATTAAACAGAAGCTTAGTGACAAGAAGGCAAGCATTAAAACTTCAGTTTCTGTGCTTATGTTCATTAGATCATGTAATAGACATATGTGAAGGCAATGTGGAAGCTATTTCTGAAAGCACAATACTTGTTTCAGTCTCATCAATAACACTACTTTATTAACAATACCCTGGAACTCTTGAAGAGTAACACTTCTGACACCAGAATCTTTGTTGGAGATCTTATATTCAAGTATGCTTAAGGTCTGCCTTGGCTAGTACTAAGGCTTGCAAAGAACTATCTCAAGGAGAAACAGCCACAAGTATGCACTGTTTCACTTAATCATATCTCATTTTATCCAAAACAGTTTGTTGCTGCAATTACCCTATAGACCTAGGAGTCTGGAGGTCAAGGTGCTATTTCTACACAAGGAATAATCTTCCTCAAGTAACACAGGCTACATCTGAACCTCTGTTTCCCATCTGAAACTTAATCTGAATAGAAACTTTATATTATTTACTTTCACCTTGATTTCTGCTTGAGTGAAGCCTTAAAACTGGGTAGAACTGGACAAGCAAGGATACCTAGGGAAAGTTAAATTATTCTGAAAGCTAGACTTTGTTTCTCAATATTAAATGTGATTTGAGAGCACTGGTTAAAGTTGTTAATAATGGATTTCATCTTTCCACTTATCTTCCCTCCGCTTCTGTTCACACATTGCTAGTAAGTCTCTATTTTATCTTCAAAATACCAGACAAACTAGTTTCTATCAAGCTTGTTTCGGATTGCAGAGCTCCAACCTCTTTGTGGCCACACTAGGATAAATAATTAAATCCTCCTCACCAAAAAAACCATGTTAATTTCATTAAAATGTTTATCTAAACCCAAATCTGAATCTAAATTAAATTGGTGAAGTTCCCTTAATGTTATACAGACTGTAAATTTTCTACTTTACCTCCATGTCTGACAGTAGTGGCTGGTTAGTTCTGGATGGCTGCTTGGTCCTTGGTGCCTTCAGTGGCCTCTTAACTGGCTGGTTACTCTGTTTTGGAATAATTTTACCAGCTGATACAACCGAGTAAAACCTTGATGAGATGTTCCTAAGCTTTTTAATATGCTCTGTATTGAGCTTGTAGTTTTCCATTGTCGCCACACCAAAACATTTCCAGAATGGAAAAAAACCCTCCCCACTCCGATAGTAAACATTTTTTCCCAAAGCCGATAGATTTCCTTGGAGCAACTGCCAATTCTTGACTTGCACGCATCGACTTGTCAAAAAAGAGGAAGCAGTTTTCAGAGCGTACAAATTCCAAGACTTTGCTGTTCTGTGAGCTGTTCTGTCAACTTCATTATCCAGCTTTGATAGTAGACGTCCAGTTTTATCGAAGCTTTGGCACTGGCAGATCGTTGTTAAAGCGTGGAAAGACCTAATCTGAAGGCGCAGAAGTTTCAGTCTCATTGCTTCCCTCAGAACTGTATTTAAAACAAACAAAATCATCCATCAACCATTTGGAAAGAAAGAATATGATTTTCCCCTTATCTAAAAGGCGACCCATACTCGTTTTGCATGTGTTAGTACTTTTAAGCACATAAACACTGGTGGGATTAAACAGCTTTTTTTCAACACTATGGAAATACTCTAATTAAGATCAAAACACATTATTGAGCTGTGTGCTTGCAACACATGGTGAAAAAGTAGAACTGGTTGCTATGTCAATATGTAAGCAGGCATCTTTTCCCTCTGTTGCTCATTCTGTGTAGCAGTCTGCACTCTCAGTAACCCCACGGATGAAATTACTCATGAGCCAGCACACACACCTTGAAGAGGATATCAGACTCTGTGAAGCATTATTTTACACAAAATAAAAACAACAATTAGATTACTATGGGGTTGTATGGGAATGTCACCTATAGAATACACACACTGATCAGCATCAGCTGAAACTGCTGTATTGCAAACAGCCAAGCACGGATCCAGCTCCGTTCATCTGTCTTGACTAGAGCAAGAGCCGAGTCAGTCAGGTTACGGTCTTGATCCTGCTAGTACATACTGGTGCAAGAGGGACCACAAGGCCTGCTTGCAGATCTACCTGTGCTGATGGAAACACGATACTGTCCTTGTTCTGTTATTCCAGACTAAGAGCAAGCTCATTATATTCATGCTACGTTGTATGAGCTAATCAAATAAGCTTTAAAAGTATTGACAGGCAGTAGACTGAATACCTCAGTGGGTGTGTTTCACTTGCTGAAAAATTGCAGTGTCAAGTCCCTGCCCCCATCTGCTTTTATTAAGCAAGAACATTTCCCTCATGACACAAAATCCATCTTCAGCAAGTTATTAACAAGAAAAAAAAAAGTCATTAAGTTGTATAGTTTGAAAAAACTGCCAATTTCAGACTATTTTTCAAAAACTGTGTAAAGAAGGATCTTCAATACCACCCATACATTTAAGGTAATAGTTCAAATAAGCATTTTCTTGGGGGAACAAATTGCGTGCCGACTGGAACAAGCCCTCCATCCTGACAAGGATACCTAGATGCTAGCACAATGCACACACAACTTGAAATAAAACAAACCTCACCCTGACATAACTTAACACAAGGGGAGCACACTAATTCTGGTGAAAGAAGCACGCAATACTACTACTACAAAAAAAAAAGACGACATTAAACACCTTTAGGCTATCACACAATAAGTAATTGATATTAGGCATAATTTTATATGCTCTTCACTTGTAGCTTTTTGCCTGATTTGTAAGCCTGTTATTTGCATACTTCTTAGAATAAACTAATTATTAATTTCATTTTAAACTTGTCTTGTATTTAAAAAGCAACCCAGAAGGCTCTGCCCAGGGCAAGGCACATTTACCTTTTTAAAGGCCCGTTACCTCTGGATAATCAAGAAAGCTGAAAAACTCAATAACTGCAACCCAAGGTAGTACAGAGCCAGGGCAAGGGGAGAAGTCTCTGGAAGCGTGGGGTAACTGGCAGAAAGAGGCTCACACAGGCCAGGCACATCCGCACCTTCCTAGCCAGCAAAACCTTGCCTCAAATCACGGTGATCCCAGGGGTGATTTTTCAATCGTACGGGCTTACAGCAAGTTACAAGGAAGCAGTGATCCTAGAGACTAAATTCCACGGCGGAGCCTTAACGCCAGGTTTGCCACAGCAGCGGCACCTAGGCAGGAAGCGTGGAACAGAGCGATCCCAGAAAGAAGCGGGACAACGAGCTACCACAGCAAGACAGCGGGCGCCATCTCCGAGCAGCAAAAACAAATCGACCCTTTATTTTCCAACGCCTCTTTAATACAAGACACGCTTTATTCACGCCCGTTGCCTTTCCGGCCGGCAGTCCAAGCTTACTGCGGCAGAGCCAGCAAGACGTACGAGTAAGCCGGGCCCACTCCGCCCCCCCTCGGGTGCTGGAGGCCCCGCCAGCAGGGCGCTGCTCTCCTGCGCCTCGCTACCGGCACACTCCGCTCCTGCCCAGCCCCCGCTCGGCGGCGGCGGGGCCCCCTGCCCTCCCTTCCCCTGAGGGAAACAATGGCGGCGGCAGCCCTACCCCCGGGAGCGCCCCCTCAGGTATGCGCGGGGAGAGGGGAGCGGCCGCCCTCCTATTGGCTGCCTGCCGGGGAGGGCGGGAAAGGGGCCGACAGGGGGCCAATCGGGCGGAGAAGGCGCCCCGCCTCCGCAGGAAGAACGAGGCCAGCTCCGCCCCCGTCCGAGGCGGTAGCCGAGGCGCTCCGGCCCCCGC